CCCACCCCCGCCCACCCTCCCAGACCAAGTCTTCACTTGAGCCCACTCACCGAGGCTGAAGAGGATGAGGAACTTGAGGCAGACAAACTCCTGGCGGTCCAGCTGCAGTGCATGCAGCTGCAGTACCAGCTCCTGTGCCCGCAACACCAAGCTGTGCAGCAAGGAGCCTGCCTGGGCAGCCACTGTAGTCAGCTCCACCTGGGCGGTCAAAGGGCATGGGTCAGGAGGCAGCAGGTAGGGAGCTCATGCCAAACAGCATGGGGCAGGAGGGTCTAATCAGGGATGCAGGTGAGAGGGCATGGGTCTGGGTCACCAGTCAGGGGGTGTGGGTCAGATGGGCTGGGGTAGGGAGTATGTGCCCAGCCCTGGGGCTGAGCCTGGTGTGGGACAGCATCGTGGCAGCATCTCCTCAGGGCCCAGGAACCCTCCCAGGCCGGCCAATATTCAGGGCCCACCCTTCACAGCTCTCCTCAGACTTCCTGGCCCGTGGCTGCAGCCTCTATGGGCCCCGCTCAGGGCACCTGTGGTCTGCCCGCCGTCCACCCCTCCTCGCCATGGCAGTGGAGCGGACACCGGGCAGGTGGGTGGCAGGAGAACTGAAGGGTCCTTCACACACAAAGAGCTGCCGCTGGGCCCAATGGTACAAATGGCTTTTGTGTGGTCACCTGCAGTGAGTACCATGTCGTGCTGGGTGTCGGGGGCAGGGAGGGGAGGGGCAGGTCGGCCTGGATACACGCAGACCTGTCCACACGCCCACCAGGGCCCCACACGCTCGCACGTGGACACTTGGAGTAAAGGATGTGTTCACACCTCGGCTCACATTCACACACACACACACACACACAGACCTATTTGCAGGGTAGTGTACCCCCTTCAAGAAGTGGACACAGAGACAGACAGACACATACACACCCTTGTTTGGTCACATTCACAGAGTAATAGAAAGATACACCCATGTGGACACACTCACAAGGGGACGGACACACAGACTCACCCCAAGTAAACACATTCACAGAGTGACAGACATATACTTATGCAAGGGTTCACATTTACATGGTGACAGGCAGATACAGGCAGCCATACACCCATGTGCATGGACATAGCTGCACTATAACATACAGGCAAACACACACAGTGGACATTCCCATGGCCACAAAGACGTCGACCTGCAGGTCAACACAGCCCAACACAATAACACACACCCTACATGCTCCCCTCATCTGCACTCACATGTGGCCCCAAAGTCACATCCTTTGCACCAGCATTCCCCATCCCCTACCCCCGATGGCCTGAGCCTCAGAGGGTGAGAACCAAGGACGAGGACAGAGAGACTGGAGTGAGCTAGGGGGTAGGGCCCAGAACCTCAGTCTCGCCCTCCTCCCAACTAACCATCAACCCACTCTTTCTCCTGTACCCCCACCCCGAAGTGAGACTCCTCTCACCAGCTAGACCCTAGGTTCCAACCTCCCTGTTCCTCCTCCCTCCCTCTCTTTCCCCTATACCTCCTCCCCCAGTTGGGGGGTTCTTCCTCCTTGAACGTGTCCCCCCAGACCCCCGGCACTCTGAGTGTTGTGTGGCTGCCCCCACTTCTTCCCTGACTCCCATCTTGCCCCTCAACATGCTTCTGCAAATACAACCTGGCCATGTTCCACCCCACTTAAAACCCTCACGTGGCTCCCCAGTGCCCAGGATTGAGGGCCTTTGAGGTCTTGCCCCACCCAGCCTTTACCAGCCCCTCCAGCCTCATCTCTCACCTCAACCCACCCCCATGCAGTGCTCAGCCCCCCAACCCACTTCCCAGCCATCCCTCTCTGAGTTCCCTCTCTGAGCCTCTGCCCATGCTGTAGCCCCGCCTGTGGTGGAGGTAGAGACTCTCCCTACCTGACCAACCTCTGTTTATTCTTTCAAGATCCTACACCACCATCACCTCCTCCAAGGGTCTCCCCTGAGCCTCCCCGCACCCCTACAGCGTGGCTTCTCTGAGGCCGGGGTCACAGCTGGCTCTTTCCAGAGTCCCCAGTGCCCAGCACAGGGCTGGTCACAAGGAAGTCAGGCCAGTGGGTGTTGCATGAGCCCAGGGAACAGCCAGGCCTGGAGAGGCCTAGAGACCTCTTGTGGACCTGGAATTCTGGAAGTGCACAGTGAGGGGCAGGGCGGGGCACAGCAGGGTTGGTCACCTCCTGCCCGGTGACCAGCAGGATGCTGCCCTCTTTGCCATGTTGGATCTGGCGGTAGATGTGGTCGAAGACCAGCAGCTCGCTCCAGCAGTTCTGCAGCAGTGTCATCTGGTCGGCCACCTGGAAGGAAGAGGCATGCGGCGGTCCCACTGGGACCCGCCCCCACCCCTCCTCCTCCCAGCTCTCAGTTCAGAGGCCCAGCCGGCTATGTGCCCCTGGGCAGGCTACCTAACTTCTCTGTCCCCAGTTTTCTTAGCTGCCAACTTTATGAAGGTGTGGCAGGGGTCGAGCAAAACAATAAGAGAGGGCCAAACACAGGGGCCCGAGACCCGGATGGGCCTGGCTTCAGGCCCCAGCTCTGCCTTTTACACATAGTATGACCTTAAGCAAGTTCCATAACCTTTCTGTGCCTCAGTTTTCTCATCTGTAAAGTGAGCAAAGCACTTAGACAATGGTCTTGCACATACCCAGTGCTGAGTGTTAATGAATAAAGCCCGGGGGGTGGACTGTGAAGGGCTCCTTCAAATGCGAGGGCACAGCATCATTCGCATTACCAGTGTGTCCATTTAGCCTGTGGTCACACCTCTGGCAACCTCAACCATTCAAAACTGAGCCATGAAGAAGAAGCAGAGACCTTCCACTGGGAAGAAAGGAGGGCCCACCTGAGGTCAGGCCCAGGGAGCGAGCAGGTGGACAGTGAAGGTATGCCATCTGAGCGGGAACAGAATGGCAAGGGGTAGACTCTGTCAGCCACAGCCAGGGGCACTTGGGGCAGGGCAGAGACTGCCTAGTGTGGTGTCCTTCAACTCGGGGGGATTGCCCAGCACAGGAAGGGCGGAGGCTTGTGAAAATGACAAGCAGGGCTTAGAACTTTGGAACATCAGAGGCAGAGAGCCCTCAGGGATCCCCTGGCCCAAACCCGTATTTTATAGATGAGGAATCAGCCACCCAGAGAGGGCGAGGTGAGACTCTCAGGATCACACAGAGGCAGGGACTGGCCTGGGCCATGGCTGGCCCTCCCAGTCCACAACTCTCCACAGTAACAAATACCAAGCCTCTGGGTGTTCAGAACTAAACTGGGTGCTGCGGATGATCCAAGGGAGACACAACACAGACTCCAGTCCCTCCCAGAATCCACAGCTCATCAGCTAGCTATCTCCCCTACAGATACTTCCTAGGCACCTTCCTGGGCCATGCCCTGTGGCAAAGGCAAGCCATGATAGCTAATAGTTGTTGCTCTACAACTCTGTAAGGTTGGTACAGTTGTTAACGCCTTTCTAAGGAGACAGGAAACTGAGCACAGAGAGGTCATGCAACTTTCCCAAGGTCACACAGCCCTATCTGACTCTTAACCACTAGGTCATAGAAAAAAAGACCCTGCCCTTGCCATCCAGGAGTTTATAGTCTCTTACACTCTTGTCACCTTCTTTATGAGGCCCTCCCTGATCCCTCCTCCTTCCTTGGTGCCCTCACCACCCTCTGGACATGGAACCCACAACATGTGATGGCACCAAATCATGCCTCTGTCTCCCCCAGTATCTGTGGGGTCTGGGAAGGCAGGAACTGTGTACAGCTCATCTCTAGGCCCCAAGAAGAAGGGCCAGGGAGCAGGTGACGAACAATTCATGATCACCAAGCCACGTGGGGACAGCACAGAGAAGCCACCTGCAACCTGGAGCTCCATGGAGTCGAGGCAGCCCCTGGCCTGAGGGGAACTGGCCCAGATCTAAAGAATGGCTGTCTCTTCTGGAGAGCAGAAATCCCCTCCCTCCCCTCTGCCCATTCCTCTCCTGGGAGGCTCCCTGGGTCTGTTCTCAGGCAGACAGAGGGAGAGAAAAGGGAAAGTGGACAAAGAGAAGAGTGAGCGGACAGATATGCAGACAGGCTTCCCCTAGCCTCCCTGCCCACCCCAGCCCCAGCCCACGTGGCAGGAGAATAAGAGGGAGAGTCTGTCTCTGTCCCTCTCTGAGTCACCAGCCTCCCGTCCTCCCTTCCTCACCTCATCTCTGTGTCATGAGCCCACACCTCTCCCTTTCTCTCCCTCTCCCAGTAGAAAGATCTTCCTAGAGCCCCGTTACTGTCAGAGCAGAAAACCGAGGCATGGGCACCTCTAGGCTCAGCCACAGCTAGCCCTGGGTGAGAAGGGTCAGGACAGATTGAGAACTGGGGTGGGATGAATCACAAAGACATCTGTCCTTATCTCTCCTTGGGAAGGGGATGGTGAGTGGACAGTCCCCAGAGAGCCGTAGACAAGAAACCTCCCCACCACAGTTCTCAAGGAGGGAGGCAGGCCCATGAGCATCCACCACCACCAGGCACAGCTCACTCTCAGGGACTCCTTGTCCCTCCCCTCGAGGCATCGGAGTTCTGCCCATACTACAGATAAGCAAACTGAGGCTCACCTAAGATAACATAAAGGGAGCTGGGCTCTGCCCAGATGCCCCCTACTGGGCCTGTCCCCTGAGGGGTTCAGGGAGCTGCCTGAGACCCAGGTAGGAGTGCCTGCTCAGGGGTTTACACTGGATAGAGAAAAACTCAGACCCACCTCGACTGACCCAGATGGACCCTGGGGCTGGGCTCTGACCCCCCATCCACTGTGGGCCCTTGGGAGCAGGCACCCTTGGGCCCAGATGGAAGGAACAAGAGGGTGGGGAGGTGGAAGAGCAAGAGATAAGTGGGAAGAATTAGGAGATAAGCAGCCTGAGCTTCAGGCAGAAAGCAGAAGGGGTCACAGTGACCCGGCTGGCCAGGCCCTGGGAGCAGTCTCTGCACCCAGACCTCAGACCCCGGGAGTGGGGCAGTCCTGCTTAGAGGGGCTGATAGGGGCTCCAGGGGCAGAGAGCTGCAATATGGTGGCAAAAGCTTCGGCATCCAATAGCCCTGGGTTCGATTTCCAACTCAGCCATGCGTCCTCCTTTGCCACAATTTCCTGTTCTGAGAAATGGGAAAAATAATTCCTCTCTCTTTTAGTTGGACCAAACTTAGGAACATGTACTGTTCATCACAGAAGGTTCTGTGGACCCACTGTTGGAACTCTGGGGATGTGGCCCCAGCCCCTGGCCAACCAATCTTCCCTGTCAGATTTTGCCCTTGCTTCTGTGCCTGGATAGACAGACGGACACATAAAGACACCAAACTCCAAAATGCGCCCCCTCACAGATGAGCACACACACATACACACACACTTCTCCTTTCCTTTAAAAGAAAAACAGAGGGCTGCAGCCGCCAGCCCCTCTCTGGGAGAAAGCAGGTGGCTAAGAGGCTCACTTAACCAAAGAGGGCTGGTCTCCACCTCAGAAGGTTTCTCCCGAAGCTAAATGTTCCTCCTCTACCCTCAGGCCTCCCTGTCACCCCAGGAACAAGGACGTTTGCAGTCCCAGCTTGGGAGTCCCTTGCTGGCCCTTGCTGTCTGCCCGGCCTCCCAGCTGCCCACCCCTCCTGTTGGCCCACCACAAATCTTCCCGGAGCTTTGACACTTTGCAGCCTGCCTCGGAGACAGGGTATTTATGGGTGCTGAGCTGACCTCCCTCCCATCAGGGCCCCCTCCAGAGCCCCCTGGGGTCTGATGAGTCTGGCGGCGGAAGGCTCTGTAATTCTGCAGCTGACACGCAACGGGCTGGCCACGGCCCTCTCCCAGCCTAGTGGTCGGCTGGTCGGCGTTTGTCAGCACAGGACTGACAGAGTTACTGCCGCTTAAATGAAACCATATATCTGGGCAGTTAAATCTGTTGCCAATCAGGGCCTTGGAGCTGGTTGTCGAGGGTGAAATGATGTCAAGATGGGTCATTAGGCACTCCTGGCCCTCACCTCCCCCTCCCTGATTCCTATCTTCCATACACCCAGCCTGTCCTTCACGGTAACTGTCCAGGGACGCTTACAGCCTGGGCTCTGGCCACTGCCCTCACTGAGCAGCAGACAGAGGTGGGTTTCTGCTACCTTGCAGGTAAGAAGTTGCTATATAAGCCCAGGGCAAGGGGGGCCCCTAGCTTCTCCCAGAACTATAGCGTGCTGAGAGGAGTATGGATAACCAGAAATGAATAAATAAATAAAATGTTTCCATAGAGTCGATTCTGACTCCTGTTGACCCTATGTGTTACAGAATAGAGCTGGTCCACAGGGTTTTCTTGGCTATAATCTTTAAGGCAGCAGATCGCTTTTTGGTTAGTAGTGGAGTGCAAACAGTTTGCGCCACCCAGGGATCTTACCACTTGCAAGTATAGATTAAATTGTGTAGCAGCAGAGGGGAACAGTAAGGAAGGGAGTTGCTGCTACTGTTTATTGAGCACTTAGTTTGTGCCAGGCCCTGTGCTAAATTTTTTTCCTGTTCTAACTCACTAAACCCTTACAACAACCCTGTGAGGTATATATTATTTAAACACCTCCCATTTTATAGATGAGGAAACTGAGGCCCAAAGGATTAAAGTCACTTGCCCAAAGCCACACATCTAGTAAGTGGCAGAGCTGGAACTTGAACCCAGGTCTTTCTGATTCTGGATTTTGTTATTAATTTCTGTGCCATTGTCAGATCTACCATGCTGTGATTGCGTGAGAGGGAAAAATAGGCACAGAGGGACAGCCATCAGACTGGGAAACAAAATGGGGGAGGAAAAGCCTAAGGAGGCGTCCTGAGCCCAGGTTCAGATACATCCTGGCTCCCAGAAATCCTGGCAGCCCAGCTAAGACCCCAGGACTTCCCCAAGAGCAGCAAGACATCATCAGCATCATAGAGGACCTCTGGGAGAGCTCAAGCCCTGCCCCAGGATGTGGGGCCCCATCATCCACTGCCAAAGGACCCACTGCTGGTCCAAGTTCTGTCTTCTGACCCCACTGACCTCTCCAGCCCTGCCTCACAGGACCACGTGAAACTCCCTGCACCCATGATGTTTTCACACTCCTGAACCTTAGCCTCTACTCTTCCCACTGCCTGGAATGTCCGTGAAAGGCACAGATCAAAGAACACTCCCTGGCTTCCTCAGATACAGCCATTTGCTCTCCTGCTGGGGTCCCTCAGCCCCTTTCCGTTGCTCTCAGAGACCTGGGCACCTTGCATTGGCATTATCTATGTATATGTCTTCCTTCTCTTCTAGCCTAGCAGCTTCCTGGGCCCAATCATTTCCAGGTTCCCAGTGTCCAGCCAAGGCCTGCCCTATTCTCAGAGCCCTCTTCTGTCTGCAAAGATGTGTCCTACCTGGAGGTGGGGGGATGAATGGTCAGTCAAAGGGGACAACAGAGTCATTCAGCACCCTTTCCACTTTTCTGCCTTCCCACCTCTGGCTTTGCAAATAAACACTAGCCTGAAGCCCATTGGACCAGTGGGGAAGAGCTTCCACTTGGCCCAGGCTGACGAGAGTCCCTCTAAGGGCTGGGCTAGTACATATCAGCAAGGCTCCTTTATAGAAGGTGGTGACCATGGTTCATATTCCTAGGCTCAATTCAGAGACTCTGGGAAGGGGAAGCAGGAAGGTTTGGACCACAGAGAATCCAGAAGCAGGAAAAAACACTCAGCAAAGCTGGGACAAAAGCCCTTCCCATCCTGCGTGAAAAACCCCAGGAGACAAGGAAGGCGGCCAGAGGAAGTGCCCTGCCCGTGGATCCAGGGTTCTGGAAGTCCAGGAATGCTTTACTCCTCCTTCCCTCTCACAGGGGCTCCTGGGAAGTCTGAAGGGAAAGCCAGTGACCCACTCAAGGGTCCTAGGTTCCTCACTCCCCGCCAGGGCCTCCAGCCATGAGTGGAAGACGGAGGGGAACATTCAAGGCCCTCATCCATGAGGTCTGCCTGGATGGGGGGCAGTGGTGAGATGGAGAAATCCTACCCTATGATAGACACATGGCACATCCCCAAGGCCTCAGCTATGACAGGCCCTCCATAGTAGAAGCAGGAGCCGTTGCCACCAATTCTTGACCCCCAGAATAATCAGGCCTCCAGTCCCATGATGCCCCCAGGGCTCACAGTGCCCAAGCCCCACCTTACCCCACCCCAAGGCCCAGCCTGGGCAGGCAGTGCCCCCGACCCATCCAGCCACAAGCCCTGGAGGAAGCCCAAGCCCAGTGGCGTCAGCACTGACAATGCTGCTCAAGGCTGCAGTGGCCCCAGCAGAGAGGGCAACGGGTCTCACTGTTTACATCCAGCTCCAGAACAGCCCAGGGGGGCTGGCCTGGGAAAGGCAAACACCGATAGGCCTGGCCCAAAGAGTGCCTGTGCCCAAGTCAGGGAGAAATGGGCCTTGGCTGGGGTTGGGGGGGTCTTTGGAATTGGCAGAATGCCCTGATCATAGGAAGTCAGGGCAGATTCGAAACATCAGGCCCTTCTAGGCAGGATGACTGGGAAGTTCTTCCCTATGTCTGGCCTCAGTTTCTCCTGCTGCTGTCCTGCTTCCTTTAGCCTCAGGTACCTAGTCCCATGGTAGAGAAGGCCCTGCAGTAGGGGAAGACTGCCTCATCCAAGATCAGAGGCAGGTCGCGCAACCTCCCATCTACGCACCCACCTAGCTCTTCTACACACACACACACACACACACATGCGAATGACCATCGTGCACTGGAGATGCAGGGGCAGGAAGCTCTTTCACCTCAGCTGGGAAGGGGAAGGGCCCACAGGCACCCTTAACTCTGAGACACAAAGACCCACATCTACGACATTTGAGGCTGATGGAGACTGATGGCCTCCCCGAGTGGGAGGATGGGATGGGCTCGACCCCCTTTCTGACATCGGGCTAGGGCAGCCAGAGACAGTCTCCGAAGGCCTCAGCTAGTCCTTTGGAGGAGTCCAGGGTCTCAGAGGAAGATAAATAAATGCCTACAGAGATGGAGACTTGGGGAGAAACAGAGAGAGACAGAAGAGGCTGGAAAACACAGAGAAGCAAACTGCATGTCAGAGAGAGAGGCAACAGACAGAGATGGCGGCAGGGGAAAAAGAAGCAGACACTGTGAGAGACAGAGCCTCAAGAAAGAGAGAAGGAGGGAGGGGTCAGTGGGGAGCAAGCAGGAAGGTGGCAGGGGGTGGGGAGAATGGACAAGAAATGCTCCTCAATGTCCTCAGTGTAGCCTCTCTGTCCCCAGACAACGCCTGAAGCCAATCAGGCAAGATGGCCCCATCGCAAGGGAAGGCCAAGGATCAGACTCAAGCAGTCAAGGGGACATCCCAGATCCAGTGGCCAGCCAGGCGAGAGGAGGAGGGAACTCACCTCCAGCTCCTTGAAGACCATGCACCTGCGTGCCCAGTCCACGATGGAGATGAAAGTCTGGTCAGCCATCCTACACAGGAGGCCAAAGGGTGCGGGCTGGTCGGGGCGGCCTTTGGCTGGCTCCTGCAGGCAGCCCACGATGCGTGCCCGCACCTGGTCCTCGTCTGGCTCCAGCTGCAGCAGCTGTAGAATGAGCTCGGGGATGCCAGGCCCTCCAGAGAAGGGCTCTGGGTAGCCATAGGGCTGCCCGGGCTGCGGGGGGCTGGCATAGGGCTCTGGGTACTCAGACTTGATGGTGCGGCCAGGGAAGGCAGGGTAGAGGTAGCCAGCCAGAGGCCCATGGGTGCTGGGTGCGGCCATGGGCAATGCTGGGGCTCCAAAGTCACCTAGCGGCCCAGCAGGTGGGCCAGGGGGCAGGCCCTTGGGCTCAGAAGCATGCAAGCCAGGGGGCAGCATATAGTCCGGTGGGGGAGGGGGTGGTGGGGGGACCCCCACTGGGGGGACTGTCTCCAGCTTGAAGCCATTAGCCCGAATCTGTGCCTTCTTCTGCTGCTTCAGGGCCCGGTCCCGCTTGTACATGGGCCCAAACTTGTTCCGGCCTCCCCGCATGCGGTCGGCACGCACAGCTGTGGGTAGAGGCAGAGGGTCAGGCTCAACCCCTCCAAGCAACTCTCCACACTGCCCCACTCCCTTGCTCAATATCCTTACATGGCTCCCACTGCCCCCAAGTGAAATCAGTCTTCTTAGCCTGGCATTCAAGGCCCTGCCCGCCCCTCCAGGTTATCCCTCATTCATAGCTGCTTGTTGACTGACGGACGGACTTTGTTGAAATCCTGGTGCAAAATGACTTAGCCTTCCCCCACTGACTTCAAGTTTGAAGCCGAGGTTAGGGCTGGCTGGGGTTCTGTGTTCAGGGAGGAGGGGACCTCTCTTGCCGACCAGATGTTCTTCCTCCTAGCCAAGAATGTGTCACCAGCTGGACTCAACAGGTGTGTTTCTGCAGCTGTATCAAGGCCCCAGCCCCTGCTTAGATAGGGCTCCACCCTAGGCTCTGGGAGAAGGGAGAGAGCAGTAGGGAAAGGGTGGGCACTCAGCAAGGGATGGTGGCCTGCGGCTAGTGCAGCCAATCTGCCTGCCACCAGTGTGAGCAGGCCCTGATCCGTGCTTTCTGGTTGTTTTAGGGGTTTCTGCTGCCCACACCAACCAGCTCTCCTGGCCCTCCACGACCTGGAGTTGGGGACATGGCCTCTGCGGACAGGACAGGTTATCCTTCTCCCATCCAGAAGTCCCTCCTGTAGGTGCCAGGACATGTGGTCTGCAGCTCTCAGAGCAACTTGGGGCTTTCTAAATTGTTCAAAAACTTTGGCTAACAGCTGCCTGCTCGGCGCACAGCCTGGCTGGGGCCAGCGGGGTGGAAGCCTACAACTGTTCACCCTCAGTGTTTCCTGATGACATCTTTCCTCCCCTCTGGATTGGGAGCTGGGGGTGAGGGCAGGGAGGCAAAAATGGACCTGGGCCTTTTGGGGACAGTTGTTCCCCACTCCCCAGGGTCTGGCTAAGAACAGGGTGGGAAAGAATCTCACCCGCTTAGTGAAGATATGAACTGAGTGAACGCATTGGATGGATGCATGAATGGACAGAAGGACAGATGAGTGGGTTGGATGAGTGAGGGCTGGACAGTGATGGTAGACAGACAATAGCATAAAGAAGGATGATAATAATAACTAACCTGTTGAGCATTTACTAAGGACTTTTCATACATTCTCTCAATCCTCACACTAACTCAAGGAGAAAGGCACTACTAAGTCCATTTTTCAGACAGGGAATCTGCAGCCCAGACAGGTTAAGGAATTTGTCCAGTATCACCCAGTCAGTGAGTGGTAGCATTGGGATTTGATCCCTGGTAAAGATGCTGGAAGCCTTGGTTCTGGCGGGTGCTGAGGGTGTGTCTGTGTAAGTGTGGGTGGGGAGTGGGACTCCTGGCAGGAAGAGGGCAGGCTCGGGGCTCAGCTCCCACCCCTGTGATCGGGTCCCTTTTAGGGACTGGGGAGAGGGTCATATCCCTGGGGTTCACTTTGGGATATTTCTCAACCCAGGCTGGGCCTGAATCCATCCCCTCCCCCGACCGCAATTCCTCCCAGCACCAGTCCCCCACTGCAGGGATGGGGCCAAGATATCAAGTGAAGGGCCAACAGCCCGGCCCTAGAAGCTTCGAGAATGCCCATGGTGCCCTTCCTGCACCACCTTTCCTACCCAATCCCCCACGCACCCACCCCGCTACCCCAGCGTCAGAGGTCAGGGGGTCGGAGACTCGCAGCCCGCGCACCTTCCAGGCGCATCCCCACCGTTAGGCACTTTTGGAAGCGGCAGAAGGGACAGCGCTTTCGCTGCGTCTTGTCGATCTTGCAGCTCTGGCTCTCCGTGCACGTGTAGTGCTTGTTGTTCTGCACCGTGCGCTTGAAGAAACCCTAGCGGAGAGAGAAAATCAAGCGCAGGAGCGGGGCAGGCTCTGTCTCCCCGCTCTCCGCACCCGGACCTTCCTCTTTGCATTTCCCAGCAGGGACCTGCACCTGGTTCTGCCCGCCTGCAGCCTTCCACGCCGTACCCCTGCCGGCCGCCCGCTCATCCGCTCACCTTGCAGCTCTCGCACGTGAGCAGTCCGTAGTGGTATCCGGACACCTTGTCCCCACACACGGGGCACAGCTCGTCCAGGTCCTCGTCGTACGAATAGTCCATGCCCGCGGCGTCCGCCTGCGGAGAGGGGACACGAGTCACCGCGACCGGACGGCGACTGACAGCGCTGCCGACCCGGGTCCTGCGCGTCTGGCAGCACCGCGGCCGCGCGCCCCTGCAGCGCCCTCCTCGCGGGCCTGTTCCGTTGCCCCCATGACAGCGCCCTGGTCAAGGCCGCCCACTGCGGGCCACCCCTTAGGGAGCCCTGGAGCAGCCCCCCATTAGAATGTGCCCAGTGCAGACCCCGTCCCGGGACTTTACAGACCGGTCCCCGCGCTCTGCTCCACGCGCTCCCCGTCCCCACCCAGGCCTGGGGTCGCCCCCGCGGCGCCAGATCCAGGACACTCGGATTCGATGTGCTTTGATCCAGATTCGTATGTCTGAGAACAAAACCCCGATTCTGAGAAAACAAGATAGGCTCGGCTGCGCGGGTCACGCCAATGAACCTGAGCGGAGTGGGGCTCAGGGCCCGAGTGTTCTGGGGGCCCAACAGAGAAGAAGGAGACAGAGACTGGGAGAAACGGAGAAATGAGCCGAAACGAGAGCTAGAGACACCAACCGACGCGGGTCAACGGTGAGAGAACCCCAGGGAGGCAGAGACAACGAAAACCGAGAGAGAAACAGAGACACACTGATGCCGAGTCAGAGACACTGAGAAGCAGAGAAAACCTAGGGGAGAGAGAGAACGAAAAAGAGAGAAAGGCGGCATCAGAGACACCGAGAGACAGAGGCCCAAAAAGAAATCCTGGGAGACAGACGCGGAATTAGAGACACAATGATAGACAGGAGACAGAGACACCGAGAGGAGGACAACCTGGGAGGCACCGAGGCAGAGAGAGTGACAGAGACACTGAGAGAAACCTGGAGGAACGGAGGCGCCCAGCAAGAGGGTCGGGGACAGGGAGATGCACAGAAAACGAGCTGGACCCGGGGAGCCCGAGCTCTGAGGCAGGGCCCTGCAGAGTCGGGCACGGAGTGGGCCCCAACCGAGAGAGGCGGAAAACGACGGCGCTCGGGACAGAGAGCCGGAGAGCGCTGCCGCCGGGACCCCCGGGCTGGGAGAGACAAAGACTGCGGCAGCGACGGCAACGGGAGACGCAGCCTGCGCCCCCGAGACCGAGACGTCGGGCGGAGAGACGGTGAGGAGGGCGGAGCGGAGACCGCGGACGCCTGGCGGGGAGACGCGGAGACCTCGGGCGGAGACCCCGCGGGCTCCAGAAGGCCGAACCCGAGGCAAAGGAGCGACCTCGGGCGGAGAGTCGAAGTCCCGAGAAGGGAGGGGCGCAGAACCCAGGCGGGGACGCGAGATGGGGTGCGACAGCGGCCGCGGCCCGCCCGTCGCCCACCTGGCGGCTCCTGCGAGCAGCAGCGCCCCGCGTCCC